AGCATTAAAAGATAACGACATTCTTTCATTATTTGGAAGCATATGCTATTGGAAGGTAGAATCATGCTATATGTATCAATTAATATATTAATAGATAATGTGATATAATTTTTAAATTTTTAAATATTTGTAATTTGAATAATAAGTAAAATTAATAATAATAATAATACAATATTAATTAATATATTAATTTATATATTAATTGAAACATATAACATCACCACTGAAGATAATATGATATGAACTTCTTCGCTGTTTTCCAACATTCCAAACTCTGGTGTGTTTCGATCTCTCTCCCAACACATGAAAAGATCACATGATTAGCTATTTTGTCATTTCTATGTTACTTTATTACTTGCAACCACACTCTTTACATTAATTTTGATTCCCATTCTGAGCAACTTGTTTGGTCTACCTATAGCCCAGCTAATTGTTTCTTTACCAAAAAAAATATATATTATTATTATTATTGCATTTATATTTTTTATGCAAATTTTGCATCGAAATAATATGGTGATGACTTTTTTGTAATTCAGATCTCATTTGAAAATAAATTTTTTTAGTAATTTTTTGATTTTTTAGTTAAAATATGATATAAAAAAAATAACAATGCTAGGTAGCTCAAAATTTTGTGGCTCAAATGGCTCAAAACACTTAAAACGACGTCGTTTTGACAGATTTTAAGTGTAAAACGACGTCGTTTTGACAGATTTGAGCTTTTGAGCCATAAAATTTTGGACTACCAAACATTTTCCTAAAAAAAATTAGTATCTTTGGATAACTTTTTAATTTTTTATAAAAAGATGCATAAAAAGTAGAGAAAAAATGAAATCTTTTGATTTTTTGATATAGAATGTTGACTTTTTTAATTTTTTTATGACTTTTTAATTTTTAGACTAAAAGGTAATTTTGCCAAACGAGGCCTATATCATTTAAATATATAAGTTTTTTAACAAAAATGACAATATCATTCTATATATATATTTTTATTATATATATTTATATATCATTATCCTAAAAAAAATTGTATTTTCATAATAATATTCCAAAAATCTTCCATGTACCTTAAGAGAAACTTGTATGAAACAAATACTTGGACCATCTTCCTATAGGGTTAACATGGATATTTTAGCAAGTGAAAGAGTTTGACCGATTAACCAGTTGGGTCCTGATAAATTTCTCTAAAAATTCTAAAAGTGTAGGAGTGTAAAAATAGCTTGGGTTTGGGATGGGCCCAACTCGATTAGGCTTGGGCTTGAATCTAGCTCGAGATCCTAGGCTTAGTCCATCGACCCGCTCAAGGCCCACTTAAAGCTCAGCCTGAGGCCCAGTGTAATTTTTGGTAAAAAAAATAAAATTTTGGTAAAAAAGTATAAATATATTCAAGCCCTGCCCAAGCCTGAGCCCAGGCCCACCGCCCAGTAGGCTGGGTCAGACTGTCTCGACCCGAATTTTAACGGGAGCTCGCGAGACCCGACATGGGTCGGGCCGAGCCCAGGCCAGGATAGTGGGCACCTGCTTCAAACATTAGTTGATATGTAGTAGTATGATGATAATCTTTATCAATTTTTCTGATAATAAATTTATTTATGAAGAAAAAAATGTTAATTTTTTGTTTTTGCCCCTTCAACTTTTTGTTGTGTCTTATTTTTTACCACTATTTTGTATGGAGCAAATTTGGTTAAATATGGTTAAAAGAAAAATGATTGGTGGATTCCGCCATTAGCTAAATATTATCTAATATGTTAATTACAAAATGATATAAAAAATAAATAAAAAGATAAAATGGTATTTTGGTCTTATTAGGAAAAAAATATTTATCCTCTGTTCGGAAAGTGGGCTTGCAACTATTTTAGCCACAAAAAATAAAATAAATTTTTTAGCTTAATAAAATAAAACATCACATCCAACCTATAATCATTATATTCTTTTTATAATATATATAATCTAATAATATAATGATATTAATAAGTATAATAAATTATTAATCTTAATTAATTAACCTCATCATCTTTATCACTTAAGTTTGTAAACTCTTATTATAGATAATCTTAACTCTAACTCATTATTTTTGAAATTTTAATTTTTTTTTTGTTTTTATTTTTGTTAATCTAAAAATTGAAAACTATTTATTAAATGAATAGATTGGATATGTTTGAAATTGTGGACAAATAATTAATTTAATATTTTTATATAGATTAGTGATTATATTTAGGAGTTGGCTCAAGTTTGAAAGATCCTAGATTGATTAAATCGTATCGAATGGAACTGTTTCAATCGGTTCGGTTTGGTACGGTTCGATGGAAAAAACGATCTATATCAATAATCAAAATAATAAAACCAACATTATCAATTTAGTATAATTTTTTATCTAAATACTGATCGTACTGAACTAATTATATCCCTACTTGTGTGTGAGATGGGGAATTAGTCAAGATAAAAGACTTATTTTAGTGTAACGGACAATTAAAAAACGCAAAAAGCACCCATCCCTTTATTTCTCGACATTCAATTTTTCAGCTAAGTTTTAAGCAAATATTGCACCAAATACTAACACATATTTCTAAAAAATATAAAAAAATTATAATTAATTTCATAACCTGCACCAAATAGAATTAAAATCTTGAAGGAGTTGACAAGTGCCACATGTTGGACACTCATCAAGAATGTATTTAATGATACATATTAGCTCTACTATTATACAAAGTATAAAAGATAATAAGGTCAAGTTTGGAAAGACTAAATAAGTGTATTTTTTTACTTTTCTTGTATTATGTGTAAAAAAAGTAGAGAGGAGATGTTGATTGATGTGACCCAAAAAAGATAAAAAGATGAAATAAGTGCACTTTTTTAATTTAGCCAAACTTGACTTAAATCTATAATATTATAATATATATATATATATATATATTAAGGGAATTGACCCATAAATCTTAAAAGGTAGAATTGTAATCTAATCAGTCCCATATTTAATTTTGTACACCCTATATATATATATATATTTTAGGGGAATTGACCCATAAATCATAAAAGGTGGAATTGTAATCTAATGAGTCTCATATTTAATTTTGTACACCCAAAGGTCCCATTATTTGGGGTGGACAATTTTGCCCATGAATTTACTATTTTGGGTTTGGTGATATTATGTTTGAATGATGTAGGTGTATGTAACGTTTGGGAAAAGCTTACTATAATTTTTTTATGATATAGGTGTATGTAACGTCTGAGAAAAAAACATTTATGATGTGGGTGTATGTAACGTTTGAGAAAAGCTTACTATAGCTTTTTTATGATGTGAATGTATGTAACGTTTGGGAACATTTATGATGTGGGTGTATGCAACATTTATGATGTGAATGTATGTAAGGTTGTGAAAAGCTTACTATAGCTTTTTTATAATGTAGGTGTATGTGATGTTTGGGAAAAGCTTATTATAGCTTTTTTATGATGTGGGTGTATGTAACGTTTGGGAAAAGCTTATTATAGTTTTTTTATGATGTGGGTGTATGTAACTTTTGGAAAAAGCACATTTATGATGTGGGTGTATGTAACGTTGAGAAAAGCTTACTATAGCTTTTTTATGATGTGGGTGTATGTAACGTTTGGGAAAAGCTTACTATAGTTTTTTCTAGATTTAGTAGTGTATGTAGGGGTGTCCACGTTATTTATGACCCATACGTTTCAACCACAAAAAAAATGGGTACATTAGTCAGAAAAATCATTCCATAATTACATAATGGGATCCTTCGGATCACATTACAAAAAAAAATAAGACTTGGACGTCTGTTAATTTTAAAATGAGACTTGGTAGACTACAACTCTCCAAAATGGGAGTTTCCAATAATTTCCCCTATATTTTAATGAAACCAAAATACTTTTGTAGGCATTTTTAATTTTTTTGTATCATTTATCTTTTTATTTCATATCGGGCCTGTATTCTTTCATGAATTAACATATTATATAATATTTAGCTAATGGTGGAATACACCAATAATTTTTTTCAACCATATTTAGGCCTCGTTTTGGAACATGCTATTTTAGTAATTTTTTGACTTTTTACGAAAAGATGTGCAGAAAAATAGAGAGGTGATGTGACTAATTTTAGTTGACTTTTTGGCTAAAATAACCACTCCCCAAACGAGACCTTAATAAAATTTGCCACATAATAAAGTAGTAGAAGATGAGGCACATAATAAAAAATTGAAGAGGCAAAAAAAAATTAAAAAAGTGCCGTTGGAATATTAATTAGCTACATAATATGGTGAAATTTGCAACATTAGTTGATATGTAGTAGTATGATGATAATCTTTATCAAATTTTTCTGATAATAAATTTATTTATGAAGAAAAAAATGTTAATTTTTTGTTTTGCCCCTTCAACTTTTTGTTGTGTCTTATTTTTTACCACTATTTTGTATGGAGCAAATTTGGTTAAATATGGTTAAAAGAAAAATGATTGGTGGATTCCGCCATTAGCTAAATATTATCTAATATGTTAATTACAAAATGATATAAAAAATAAATAAAAAGATAAAATGGTATTTTGGTCTTATTAGGAAAAAAATATTTATCCTCTGTTCGGAAAGTGGGCTTGCAACTATTTTAGCCACAAAAAATAAAATAAATTTTTTAGCTTAATAAAATAAAACATCACATCCAACCTATAATCATTATATTCTTTCTCTTATAAAAAACTAAAAAAATCAAAAAAGCCAAAAATTCTTTCCAAACTAAACTTTTTAACCCCAAATTAAAATAATCAAAAAAATCAAAAAGCCAACTCACTCCCCAAAACCAAGCCTATTATAATGTAGTACCTTTATTATGCTTTATACATTCTATAATAGTGGTGCTAATTAGTATCATTTAATATATTCTTACCAAGTGTATAGTCTTAAATACCCTCCTTAGCCAAAAAGAATAGAACCAAAAAAATAAATAAAAATAGACATTTCAGTAATTTAATGGTCTCCTAGTTTTTATATATAATGCTCTCCCTCCTCTGTCAAACATACCACCCTCTTCACAACTGGGCTGTCCCAGTAGAAAGTCCCAGTCATGGACTCATCCATTGTTGCATTACTCCTAGGTGCTCTACTATGTTTAACCACCACTACCACCATAGCTTTTGATCCATGTGCTTCTTCAAAAGCTAAATCTGATAACTCAGACCTCTCAGTCATTCACATCTATAGTAAATGCTCACCCTTCTCTTCCCTAAACCCTGCTTCATCATCATGGGTCAACACAGTCCTCAACATGGCCTCCAAAGACTCAGAAAGGCTCACCTACTTGTCCAGCCTTGTGGCCCAAAAGCCCACCAAGGTCCCGATAGCCTCGGGCCAACAAGCCCTTAACATTGGAAACTATGTGGTTCGGGCCAAGCTCGGAACTCCCGGTCAACTCATGTTCATGGTCCTCGACACCAGCAATGATGCCGCGTGGGTCCCATGCTCCGGGTGCACTGGTTGCTCGTCCACTATGTTCGCCCCGGGCACTTCCTCGACTTACGGGTCATCGGATTGCTCCATGCCCGAATGCAACCAGGTCCACGGGCTCTCCTGCCCAGCCACAGGCTCAAGCCCGTGCCTCTTCAACCAGTCCTACGGTGGTGATTCTTCGATCTCCGCTCTTCTCTCTCACGATTCCCTAAGCTTAGCCACGGATGTGATTCCGAATTTCGCTTTCGGATGCATCAACACAGTCTCCGGCAAGTCCGTCCCACCCCAAGGCCTATTGGGCCTGGGCCGTGGACCCATGTCACTACTCTCCCAATCGGAGTCACTCTACTCCGGTATATTCTCATACTGTTTACCCAGTTTCAAATCATACTACTTTTCCGGATCTCTAAAACTTGGCCCCACGGGTCAACCCACCAACATAAAAACCACCCCACTTCTCCACAACCCGCACCGCCCATCACTCTACTACGTTAACCTCATCGGAGTCAACGTGGGCCGGGTTAGCGTCCCCATAGCCCCAGAACTCCTAGCATTCGACCCGAACACCGGGGCAGGCACAATAATCGATTCAGGCACGGTTATAACCCGATTCGTTGAACCCGCCTACAATGCGATCCGAGACGAGTTCCGAAAACAGGTACAAGGCCCGTTTTCGTCGTTGGGGGCGTTCGACACGTGTTTTTCTGCCAGCAACGAAAACGTAGTTCCGGCGATCACGTTTCGATTCACGGGCATGAATTTGGTGTTGCCAATGGAGAATAGTTTGATTCATAGCAGTGCCGGATCGTTGGCGTGCTTGGCAATGGCGGCTGCGCCGAGCAATGTGAACTCGGTGTTGAATGTGATTGCGAATTTGCAGCAGCAGAACCTTAGGATCCTATTTGATACTGTGAATTCTCGATTGGGGATTGCTCGTGAGCTCTGTAACTAGTTTTTAGTGTGCTCTGTTTCTGTCTATTAGCTCTCTGTTTGAAGGAGTGATTGGTAGATTTTATCTCATAATGTTTGGTGGTCATATGAATAATATGTGTATTATGGAAATGATAGTAGTGTACAAGATGAAGTATTTTGTATAATAGGTATTCGAGGATGGTGTATTAATTAATTAATTTGTTTGTTTAGATATGCATGTGAACTCTACAATGAAAAAAGGACAAGCTAGTTTGTTTTATAAATTCTTTTATTATTATTATTATTATTTATTCTTCTAATAAATTTTTATAGTAAAGTAAATTTTTTTTACAGAAAATAAATTTGTCAAATAAGTTAAGAAGAATCCCAAGGTTGGTTTAATGGGTGCAACTTAGGATCTGCTTCCCTTCAAGTCTCAGATTCAAATTTCATTAGGTGCTATCAATTCTTTGAAGTCATGCCCGCCCGATTCACTTAGAAAGACACTTTGCGTGGGTCTAGAGACTACTTGAGGTGTGCACAAGTTGGCTTGAACACTGGTCATCCAAAAAAAAAGGTAAATTACAAACACACTCTTTGATATTTACTTAAATTACAAATTATCCCTTGTAGTTTTAGAAATTACATTATGTCCCCTAAGGTTTCTAATTTTACAACAAATATGTCCTTTTATTAATAAATTATCAAGTTAATTAACAGTTTTTAATAATGTTAAAATTTTATTTCAATTAATAATTCAGATAATTTTATTATTGTATAGGTAAACAGTTAGAAATTTTATTTTTTTAATTAATTTTATTAAATAAAAAATTCTGACAGGGGAGATATTTGTAATTTTCCAAATCACATGGGACAATTCGTATTTTAAGCAAACCTCAGGGAATGTATTTGTAATTTATCCAAAAAAAATTTGAGTTAAGAAGAATATTTTTTAGCCAATAAACTTACTTTCTTGCCACAACCAATTTAGGCCTAAAAAATATGTATAATGATAATGTCACGTTATCATTGATAAATAATATCACCAATTAATAATGAAATTATAAGAGATAGTAAATTTCACTATTCAAATGTAAATACTAATCTAACATAATTCGATAGCTACTATATATAGATGATATATTTTACTATATTTGAATACTGATACTATGTGTAAGTGATGATGGGATATGAGATGTGATGTCAAAATTCAAGTTTGTTATTGTGTGATACAAATTTTTTCCACATTCCTTTTCTACTATTTGTGAAAAAAAAAAAAAAAACATGTTACTTGCAGGAGAGTTTGAGATATGTTGTCTAATCTCACTAGAGAATTTTAATATTAGTTATGTTAGATAATCAAATCTCCCTAACGAATGGGGTGTTAGCATAGAAGGAGGTGGATATTGCCCTTGTCACTATTATAAGTTATTAGAATCTACGCAGATTGAACTCTTCTTTTTTGTGGATTCATAACTTTATATGCACATAGAATTTATCATCATTGGTTTAGATGAGATATTTACTAGAAGTATATGCATACACTAATGTGTGCTCAAAATTGTGGGAGAAAATGGACTCGTCTGTAATAGATTGTAGTCATTGGTTTAATAATTTACTTTTTTGTCATTAGTAATTGTTAGACAAGATAAATAGTTAAGAGAAAATATAGTATTACCATGGATGTTTTGGGAATTTTAATTGTGTGATGGAATTATTTATACAAATGAGTTGTAATAAAGTAATAAAGCCATAATGCCAACTGTAATTTTTTGCATCATGCATTCAAGGTGCTTGATCTTATATTTGATCCATAATGATTATTGAAATGGGAAAAGAATGATGAATCTCATGTGGGATTGGTATGGCGTCAGTTAAAGAGTCTTCGATAGTTAAGTTAGAGAAGAAAATTCGGAGGGAAAAAATGAAGGTTTAAGATTTCTATATATTGATTTATCTTCTGAATTGAACTGTGTAATATTTATAACTTGAATCTTACATGATTAGGAGTGATTCACACTAGTGCAAAATTCTTTTTATTTGTTACTCTTACACATGTCCTTATCTGTCTTGTTAATTATAACTCTCATATGGATGCATCATATGATTGTAAGACTCGTTGATTTATGTCCCTACTTGACTTAGATTGGTGCAAATTCTTTCTAAAGTCGTTGATTTATGTCCCTATTTCACAGTCAACCCATTTTGCATTACGTTCGAGACTGTGTCTAATATGGTTTGAGTTTTGACTAGGCTCAAGTAAGAGAAATGTTACATATCTTGAATTTGAGATAGTCTCGAATGGTTCGAATTTTATTTTGCCGGTCGTCTAGTAAACAAGGTGACAGCCATGGTTGATGAGGTGACAACCGCAATAGACAAGTGTTTTATCCGGTTGTTCAGGTAATCGTTTAGCCAATCAACCGGTGAACACAAATTCAAACCATTCGAGGCATCAAGAATTTCTGCCCAACTAATCCCTTAACACCTATTAGTTCATGTCTTACATAATCACATGTCCACAATGGATCACTCAAAGCCAGCCTAATATTTACCCATCAATATTACGTAGTTGAAATGTGAGAGTATAATTAAACCCTAGGCTCAATCTAAGCAAGGATTCTCTTTTTCTTTCCATCTTTCCTGTTTTAAATTCTCCGTATCACAGGATTGAATTTCTTTAATTTAATGGGGGATTTGGTGATAGCCTCCTCACTATCTAATTTGTCTTTCAAAAGAATAAGAATTATATAAGTACTTTCAAAACCCCCTAATATTTTAAAACTTATTTTTTTTACTATATTACCCTCATATCTATCAACTCTCCTATTAAGCCATCTTTACTATATATTTCAGAGTAAAATTTTACACTGTATAAAAGTAAAATTTTACATTCTGAAACTAAATGTAAAATTTTACTCTGTATGAAAGTAAAATTTTACTTTGTATAAAAGTAAAATTTTACTCTGAATAAGAGTAAAATGTTACACTCTGAAACTAAAAGTAAAATTTTACTCTGAAAAACTAGTAAAATGTTAGACTCTACACAAAAGTAAAATTTTACTCTGTATAAAAGTAAAATTTTACTCTGAAAAAAAAAATACTATAATTCAATGTTCAAATCAACACAACCCATTTCTCAGTATAAAAAATAAAATAAAAAATTTTAATCTCGAAATACATTTTCACAAAACATAGATAATTTCAATGGTGAATATTCGAGGCATTTTGCGTTTGTTTCTTCTGTTACTTTCAATAAAAGCTTGTACAAAGCCTGTACAGATAGAGAGACCAACGATCCAACAACACCACCTCTGGTTCAAAATCTATTTAGATTTCTATATATTTATGTGCATAATCAATCAGGTAAGAGATTGATATGTGAATATATATATATATGTCAATTCCTTGAACCTCAAGCCTATATATATATATATATATATATACATATATTCTACTGTTCCTCATCCACATCCTTCCCAACCTCCTGTTCAATTTCTTTCAATCTCGAAGCTTCAGCCTTCGCATTCAACATCGCCAGCATCTCATCAACAACCTCATCATGTTTCTTCTCCGCTTTCAATTAAGCCATCTCCACCGCACTCCGAATCTCCATCTGCTCCGAAACCCTAGCTTTTGAATCTCCAACGACATCCTCATTCAATTTCAACATACTCAAAGCCTCATCGTTGTTGATTATGAAGATGAAGAGAGGACCTTCTGCTGAAGCTTGGAAGACGCTACTATGGCGGCGGCTTGTCGACGACCTTCTGCTGAAACTTGGAAGATGCAACTATGGTGATTATGATACAGTTGATGACGAAGCTGATTATATATGCAGAAATTGAGGGTATAATAGTCCTATAAAATATTTAAATAACAAATTTTGTCCTTTATGCAAGATTTTATAATTATGAGGGGGTTTAGAAAGTATAATTTTTTTCTTAATCCTTTTAATAATGAAAGGAAGGTAAAAAGAATTTATAGCTAAATTTCTCTAATTTAATTGTGTACCCAGAGAAAATTTGAGACGCATGACAAGGAAGAAAAAGCATGCTTAAGTATAAGTTATCAAAGGATTTTACAAGTTTACTTTTTTGGTTTTTAGTTATTTTTTTTAAAAATAATATTTAAAATTTTATCATTTAAATCTGAGGGAATTTACATGTAGGTCCTAATAGGTAAACTTATTATCCAATAAGTTCTATCATAATTAATAGTATTTTTCATCAAATATTATTAAAAAAAAGTCACTAATTATTAATTTCCAGCGACAATTTAAAAATTGTTATAAAAAATGTCATTAGGCCTCATTTGGTAACAGACCAGTTTAGCCAAAAAGTCAAAAAATTACTAAAAAGGTCAAAAAGCCAACAACCCATACAAAAAAGTCAAAGATTCTTTTTGCTCTCTACTTTTTGCACTTCTTTTCGTAAAAAGTCAAAAAGTCATCCCAAACATACTAGTTTTGTTTAACTCATATTTTAGCCAAATAGCCAAAAAGTTACTAAATTAGCATGTTTCCAAACGAGACCTAATTATAAATTTTAGAGACAATTTAAAAAAATCGTCACAAAAAAATAACTAATTTTCAACTTTCAATTTATAAAAACTTTGACAACTAAAAGTTACTAATTGTCAATTTTTAGTGACATGTAAAAAATAGTCACAAAAAATTATTTTTAGTGACGATTTTATTAGAACTTAATGAAATTTAAGTTCAACTATTAGGACATATTGATAATTTATTATTAAATCTGTCTAAATTAGATAATCCTAAAAATTTTGAGGAAAAAAAAAAGTCAATTTCAATTTTTTAAAAACAAAAGTTTGCTTTTAATTTAATGATTATTAATTTTTTTTTTGTCTATATATATGAATATGTATTTTTGGGGAGATCATGTGTATATATATTAACTTTTGTATGTGTATGAAATTGGGCTCAGCCCAACTCGACGTCTAAAACCACGGTGACCAGTTGACTTGTTTGGATGCTCTATTAAACATGGGGGATTTTTTTTGCACCAAATAAATAAATAAATAAAATTTAGTATATTCAACTTTTTAGTATTCTAGTATTAAGATCAAGTTTGACAAGTTGAAAAAAAGTTAAAAAATAAAAAAGTTATTCAAAAAGTTAAAAAGTTATCACTATTCATCAAAAGTCAAAAATTACGGCTGTATAACTCTCAATCTTAATTTTCCCCTACATACTAATTTATACAATTTTTTAATATACATTTTTTCATAAAAAGTTAAAAAATTAACCCAAATATCTATATTTTTTTTCTTCAATTTTTTAGTCTAAAAAGACAAAAAGTGCACTTATTTAGGACACCCCAAACAACTCCTAAATTATTTAAGATTATAATTTATTCTCAATATATTTTTTTTTTCACAAATTACTTTTTAAAATAAAATCATAATTTATGATACATTTCAATAATAAACAAATGAATTCAAATGACAAAACACTTTTCATTATTATTTTCATCTATTGCTGGATTACTTAAAAAATAAAAATAAAATAAGAAGGATGTTAAGGGCTTACAGAAAAGACAATGCACGAGTGTATCTGATGATGCTATGATTACTTCAACTCCCATAGCTGAGATTCTGGAAGGGAAGCATTCTCAGTTTATAATGCAATTCCTTTTCCAAGAACTAAATGCTCCAAGAGAAATCCACGACATAAATACTTTTAATTATTATTTTTATACATTTATATAAATACTTGTTTCTTTTTTTTAATGAATTGTTTTAAAAAATACTTTTGATTATATTGTCATTCAATGTTTGATTCTTTTCAAATTTTCTTTTATTTACAGGTAACAACACAATAAAAAATAATGATATTGATGATAAGTTTTGGAGGTAGATTACAGTTTTGGAGTGAGGAAAAAGATGAAAAGAAAATAATTAAAACTTGAGAGAAGATTTAGAGAATTGAATATAAAGAATACATATAAGTAATTAAGTTGTGTCATGAGAAAAAAATAATAATATTTTATTTTAAGATTTAATGTGTATTGTTCTTATTAGTAAATTTACATTAGTGTATAATAGGAACTAGAATTTTAAAATTTTAATTAGACGTACTGAGTTGCTATTTAGGTACAAATAGAATCACCCATTAAACATATTCATAAAAACAAATAAAGATAAAACTCATTATTTAACAAGTGCTATTTAGAGTGTTTTGTTGTTACTTCTTGAAGGTATATAAAATTGGGGAAACTACTGCTTAGGTGATAAAATTTATCATTTCATACTTTAATAGTTATAAAGTTTATTATTAATTTGTAAACATTCAGATGGTGGAAGAAGAAATTGCTTTTGATTTCGATGAAGAAATATTGTAAACTCTCCCACAATTTTCCAACCAAAACCAGACAATATCTATAAGTCCACCAACATCTCCAACCAATTTTTCTACATGGAACCTTGATGAGGGTTACTCTGACAAGTTAAGGAATTGATCTCAATAACCTGTGACTGCAATAATTTCCTCAAAACAACAAACTGCTAAAACCAAAGATACTTGACAACCTGCAAAAAATAAAGATGCTTGATAAAGCAGATTTCTTATCAAACATCCCATGTGATCTGATTAACAACCTTATCTCTTCAGATATCAAATGGTTTCAAATCTGGCATCAACTGTCTATATAAGCAGTAGCTCAAAATGAAGACATTATCTAGAAAAATATTAGTGAATCTTGAGTGAGAATGCTTGTATTTGTACATGCTTTGCTCTATTTGCTTAGAAGAGTGTGACCATATGTAAGTATTTCTAATATTATACTTTCATCTTATTTCAATAATATAAGTGTGTTCGTATCGCTTTTATACTTGTTCTCAATCCATTTTATTGTTTACAAAGGTTAAGATACTATCAAAATTTGTTAAAATAATTAGAAGCATGATTTTTTCAATTTCGTATTATGCCACTAGAATATTGGAAAGAATATCACCGTATTCAATATCAAATATATAGATATCAAGAATTGTTATACTTTATTTTCTATTTGAATTGTTTTCAATCACTAAGATTGCACTATGCCCAAAAAAAATGATTATTTTTAAAAGATAGAGGTAAAATGTTCCAAAACTAAACCAAAACCAGATAAAATAAATTTTGCTATTATTTTTTATGATTTTTGGTTGCACTTGGTAAGTAGGGCACTTGTCTTCCATAATTATGAATAATTTTACAGAAGAATTTACATGTTAGTGTATATTTAAAAAAAAATATTTACAAATTAATGATAAACTTTATAAGTACTGTATTAAAGTATGAAATGATAAACAAAATCATCAATCAATAATTAATTTTTAAACACAATTAATAAAAAAAATGTAAAATGATCAAGTATTCCTTCGTTTTTTTCTCTTTCTCTCCACAGTTATACAATTTATTTTAACTTAACCACATTCCTAACAAAAAAACTATGTGTAATTTCCAAAATTTTTAAACTTAATTTCTAACATTTTAACTTCATTTATAATTTAATCTCATATTGCATTATATATACACATATATATTATCAGACTAGGGGTAATATTAAAATTAGATAATCCTTCTTTTTTAAGGTCCATGATGGTTCTCATAAAAAAGAAGGACAAACTAGGGCAAATTAACTCTGTGAAGCAACTCTACCACAACAATGAAAACTGCTTCCATTGGAATCCAATTTTGCCTAGAGAAAATTAGTGTCATTTTGATTGTATTTGGATAATAAATTTAGGTAAAATTTTGAATAAGAAAACAAAAAATGCAAATAAAGTATTCTTTTTCCTTTTCTTTTCAAATTCATATTGAAATTAGTATTGATTTAGACATGTCATTAATAAAAACTACACAAGAGTTTACCTTTTTTTTCTTATTTTTTGGGTGCAATTTAGGTGTCTTTAAAATAGAAGCATCTAAAAAAAGGTCTAAATTAAAAATAAAGTTCACAAAATACAAAAAATAAAATAAATCCAAGATGACCATTTTTAGATTTTAATTAATAGATTTTTGTTAACCTTATATAAGAGGATTTAGAATAACTGCTGCACAGTATGAATTAAGAGGGCTTGGGTTTGGATTTTGGAAAGAAGGGGGTTAAAGTTAAGACTTTTTAGAGAACAAGATGAAGATTTAGAACTGTGTTTGTTCTTTTACATTGTATTTTGACTTTTGACTGAATTTTTATTCATATCAATTCTCACATTTTAGGCATGTGTAGCATAAATTTTGCAATTTGAATGGAATTATTAAAGGAATTGAGGTAATGACTATCTTTTAGGAAAGGAAAACTGTTTTAGGATTAAATCACAATAGAATTAATTTTTTACTCTTACTTAAATATAAAAACGCATTAACAATATTCTGTCATCTCGTTATCATTATCGCCATTTTGAACGAAATTAGTTATATAATATAAATGAAATTTTTATACAAAAATATCTTTGATGAATTACATTAACAGTCCCTATAGTTTGGGACTCGTATCACTTTAATTCCCGATTTTCAATTGCAACACATTTGACCCTGAATTTTAAATGTTTTTTTAAATAAGGACAATTGAAGATACTATTACTTAATTTTAAGGGTAAAATCGTCAATTTGATAAAATATAAACTAATTTGATAAAAATAAATGTCAAAAAAATATTTTTAAATTTTTAAAAATTATTTCTACCCACCAAAGATAAAATTATATAAAAATGATAAGTCTTTTAGACATTTATTTATTTTTTTTTATCAAATTAATTTTTATTATGTGTTTAGATGAGAATCATATAATGGATGGTTGTTAGGATTTTAATGTGTTATCGATATATTTAATATATGAAATGTTTTTAGTTTTGGATTTTTCGATTTAATGGATTGGTTTAATAATGATATCAAAGTTGTCGCCATATTTGAATTTTGGCAAAATTGAAACTAATTTAATGAAAATAAAAACAACCACTTATTACATGATCATCATCCAAACACATAATAAAAAATAATTTGGTAAAAAATAATAAAAAATAATTTGGTAAAAAAATAGAATAAATGTCTATAAGATTTATTAATTTTACATAATTTTATCTTTAGTGGGCAGAAATAATTTTTAAAAATTTAAAAATATTTTTTTGACATTTTTTTTGTTAAATTAGTTTATATTTTATCAAATTGACGATTTTGCCATTTAAATTAAGTAATGGTATCTTCAATTATCCTTATTTGAAACAAGATTCAAAATTCAGAATCAAATATATCACAATTAAAAAATTAATGATTAGAATGATACAAATCTTAAACTATAAGAATAGTTAATGTAATTCGTCCAAATATCTTTAATAATTTTTAGCATTTTAAACCAATGAACCCATCATTATAGTTTGTAATTTCACAAGTGTTACTCCCACCACATAAGTTTTCTGCATAAAAATTATGTCAACCCCACCATTAAAACACATCATGGTTTTTCTAAAAAAATTCAGTTTGCATTACGTTTTTTTATTGAAACACAAAAAGAACCAAATAATCATAACAACCCCAAAACTAGGACAATGAAGATTACACAAGCAAAACACAAAGTAGCAAAGTACAGTCACCTCTCATCTCACTTTATCTCTCCTCTCATTTTTCTCTCTGTATCACTCTTTTCTTTCCTTTTCCAATACAGGTCCAATTTTTTTTTAGAATCTCATATTAAACATCACAATGAGGCCTTAATAAATTCTGGCTTTTACAAATTTAGGACCTTCAAATAAAAAATTCTTTAGGGAGGCTTAGGTGATGATAGACTAATAGATCTAATAGTTAAACCACCTATACACTGTCTGAAATTTCTTCCAGTTGTCAACCCCACCATTGGTGCACCACAACGCCATCATCCTTTAACCTTCCATATAAAGCCAAGCATTCCCAATATGCCCTTCTACTTTTTTTGCTAATCCCACTAACTTTTTGATGCTTACACTCCATGAAGAGCTCATCCACCAACCCTAAAACATTGCTTTTCACCATATCCTCCACCATTTCAGCCTCTGCCTTCATCACCACATACTCCTCTTCCCTCACATTCTTCTTCAACCAATCCGACATCCCGATCGGTGTCACCTCCGTGCCAGAAGATTCCTCCGTTACAGGCTCAATCTTGTACATCTCAAAATACTTGTTCCTTGTCGGATAATGCTTGGCAAACCATTCGGCATCACCGATGGAATCATCATCATTTTCGGGCAAGCTAACATCTATGAAAACACGACGTGGGTAGCTTTCGAGAGAATCACCTATTAAGTCTGGCAAGTAGCGAGTTCGCGTATGGTAGCTTTTGGATTTCCCAGAAGCCGCTCTAGGCGGTTCAAGCAGTACGTCCTCGAGTTTCTTTAGAGCTGCCTTCTTTTCCTCTGGTGTTACACCGCATAGCCTCCTTATCGTGGATGAGTTTGTGATGGCATGGCCGGTTTTTCGCAAGGCGACAATTTTGGAATCAAATCGACGAAGGTAGACAATTTTGTAGTTGGATGGCTTGTGGAATGCGAGCAAAGGGTCCTCACTAAGTTGGACAGTGGCAACGCCGCCCACCTTGAGGGTCCTGTCAATGAATTCCTTGGCTGCATTAAAGTCATGGACAAAAGCAAAGTCGAATGTCTCACCTGGGATCGAGCTTTGTCGCTCTAAATCTGAATAAGAAATCAAATCCATTTCATTGTTGCTAAGAATTTGAGAACTGTAAATGGCTTCCTCATTGCCACTGTTAACAAACAGTGCTCTATCACCCATTTTTAAGAGTCCTTCGTTTTCTAAATCACGAAAGACTAATGGTAACAACTCTAAATTGATTGAATTCAATGAAACCTGATGATCTGCCTTAGATATATTAGCAGACATGGAAAAACTTGAAGAAACTTTACCAAGTACTAAGCCATGCCAGGGGAATGAAACAATTACCAACGCCAAAAGCACGAGTCGAATCACCAGCTTCAAAACCCAATAATCAGGCAGCCTAATTATCAAGAATTGGGTATTATTGGCACTTAGGTCGATACCATCTTTATATAGGTTCATGACTTTGTGGGAGTGATGTTTTGTTCGAATCCCATGAATCAAATCCATTGCTAAAAAAAGTTATTTTTGGATTGAAAAGTTTGTCTAATGAAAAACAATTAAATCAGCTAAATAACGAGCAAATAACAAAGTATTGCGGAGATTGAAAGAAATTGAAGGAGGAGAGATCAACGATTAGAAAAAAAAGAATGTCAAGCGAGAGGGAGGTGGGAGCGGCAACCAAGGGAAATGATTGATTTAGCGAGTGCAGAACCTGGCAGCGGTGTGATTACCACCTATGAGGGTGATATGGCTACTTTGCAACCTTGACCATAACAACAACAATTCTTTCACCCTTAGCGCTTCCATCTTGTTTTTTTCCTTTCACATTACTCAGATCGATGGATTGTGTTTGGCAATGAAAGTTGTGTTGATTTTTCCTCCATTAGCGATACATAGGAGAAGGCTTCATCAACATCATCCACATCGATCCAAGAAGGAAGTTGGAGAGAGAGTTGTATTGTTTTTTTTGTTTCTTACTTGTGGGTATTATTGTTTTTGGGGGGTGAGTGAAAATTATAATAAGAGAAGGGTGTGTGGACGTGAATGAAGAGGGAGGATTTTATGGAGGAGAGTGTATAAGAAAGAGAGTTAAAAATAGAAAAGAGAAATGTATAGTTGGTTGGCCCTGCTACAACTTCTCTGTATGAGAGGGAAAAGGGCCAGAGCATTTGTTTTGTACATAATACGCGTATTTGGATTGCGCATGCCTGCATGTACATTTGCATGTGCTACGCACAAGGATGGATCCAGGGGGTGAGGGGTGCGCTTAGAGATGGAAGAAAAATTGATAAAATCAAGCCGACTGATCGAAACTATCTCAAATTTTAGTTTTCAGTTTGTTTTTCATAACATACCGTCTGTTTCGATTTTGAAACTTTTTATACCGATACAAACCGAACTGACCGAATATTATATTTAAATATTTTTACATTATAATTTCTTGAACATTATATGTGAAGTAATTAATATATTATACTTTTGTGATAAAAATTAGGAAAAAAAAACATTTATAGAGCAATTTTCATATATTTTCTTCATTTATTTTCAATGTAAAATTCTATAATCTACTATAAAACCTTTTAAAATATCATGTAAATTTTCTTTCTACATCGAACCGACAAAACCGATAAAACTAAACCGTAGCATATAGTCTATATCAATTTCTTAATTATAAAAATCGAAAGGATTGATTCGGTACTAAATATACTCTCAATATCGACCGAATCAAACCGCTTACACCCCTAAGTGCAGTGGCACCTCAAAAATTGTAAAAATTAAATATATTATAGGAGTAATTAGTAATATAATTTTCAAAGATGAGAAGTTAAACTTGTTTTTATCTCTCAAATTTCGAATTCTAAATCCGTCGTTGTATGCATATATATTTATACACTAGTGGTTGGGCACGTGCGTTGCACGTGACACGTCATTTTTCATTAGCTGGTAGTACTGTAATTATGTGTATCTCTTAAATTTGAGCCTATTTTGGAAAGTACGCTAAAATGTGACTTTTTGGCCTTTTTTTTATTTTTTTTGAAAAAATATGTAAAAAAATAAAGAAATGATGTGACTCAAAAAAACCAAAAAGTCAACAAGCTGGCTTTTAATCCATTTGCCAAAAGAGTATAGAGACTTTATGAGTAAATTGATATGTATCCAAAATACAACTATGTAACTACCCTGACCTGTGATTAGCATATAATCTATAATTAAGAATGCTTAACAAGGAATTAAGATGAAATTATGAATTAATTGTGCATTCTATGTGTTATTTGAGTCTATGTCTGTTCATGGTAAGAATATATGTTTGTATTTCTGTTTTGGTATGCAAATTGAAGGTCTTATCGGCATCCGATCACGAAATGGCCTAGGTTAATGTGTAATTTGGAATTTTTAGCAATTTCTGGTAGGTTTAATGTAGCTCAAATTGGAGGGGGCTAGAATGGCTCGAATGGGTGTTGGCCGGTCGTCCGCCCGGATGACCGGCCAGACGTCCGCTCGGACGACCGGGTGGAAGATTGTTTACCGCGGTTGTCACCTTTGTCGACCATGGCTGTCAACCTTCTTGCCGGACGATCGGTAAGATGAATTTCGAGTCATTCGAGCCAACCTTATATTCGGACTATAAAGCATTGCTCTTTGAAAAATTACAAATACCCCTTTATTAGAATTTTTTATTTAATAGAATTAACTAAAAAAATAAAATTCATAATTGCTCTCCTATACAATAATAAAATTACCTAAATTATTAATTGAAATATATTTTTAACATCATTAAAAATTGTTAATTGAGTTGATGATTTATGAAATTAGAAGGGAATGAAATGTAATTTTCAAAATCACAGGGGATGATTCATATTTTAATCAAGCTTCATAGTGTGTATTTGTAATTTACCCAATAAAATAATCAAAGCTAATTAGCCTAAACGAGAAGTAATTAAATTAATTTACTGCAAGCTTATATAAGGTTAATTTAGACCCTAAACTCATCTTTACACTCTCATTTCTCATCTTGTGGAGACAAAAACGTGAGAGAGGGTGAGAAGCCTAGAAAGAGAGTAAATGCAAGCTTAAGGAAGAACTTTTGGAGGAATAAGCTTGGAGACTCTAAGAACTAGTCATCTAGAACCCAATTGAACACCTACGGTAAGAATTCAAGCCTTTAGTTTTGTAATTGAGTTGATTCATGCATGAATTCAAGAGAATTGAACTAAGAGATATAAGAATTAAGCTAAAGAAGTTGAAGGAAGATTAATTCATACATGCATGTGTATTTCATTGCATTTTGAGCATGTTTTCTAAGAAATTCCCTCATGCATGCAACAATTTGAACTTAGTTTTGGGAATTCATCTTGTTTCCCATCATTTTACTTTATTTGATCATGTTTTAGAATATTGGAGTTCATATCAACTTATGCATGTTATGTTTTCCAAGTTTCAAGTATAATTTGAACAATTGGCATGCTTTTGGGCCTTAATTTTGCGAAATGATCTTCAATTCATGATGTTATACAAGTTTAGTCATGTTTTCTCAAGTTTTAGGCCCAAAAGATGTGCTTTGAAGCTTTGGATTTGAGTTTTGGAGATTGGAGAGCAATTTGGAAATTCCAGAATTCCTGTTCTTCGCTCGAGCGGTGGAGTCTGCACTTGTCACGGCCCAAACCGGTTTCTATAGGTTTAGCGTCATAACCAGCCAGTAATCTTGGGATTACCCAAGACCTTTGAACAAATTAGCAAAAGTAGAGGGGCTAGCGGAAGTAATTACAAATATACAATGTCCATAGAACTGTGTAAACATACATGGAACAAAAAATTTAAAACTTATATTTATATACAATATGTGACGTCATAATTACATTAGTCTTACGTCACTATATTACAGATAACCAAAAGTCGAGTTCAAACTTAAACAAAAAGAAAAACAAAAGTCATAACAAGGTTCATAAAACTCGACTACAAAACATTTCGAAACCTCCTCGGGAGGCATACTAGTTGGCTGACTCAAATAGATCTCCAAGCAACTTCACTAAGCCTGGTCCCGCAGCTACATATATAAATAATAGAACGAGTTGGAGCCCGGTGAATAACAACAGAGTAAAAGGTTATGAATGATGTCCAAAACAGATTCAGAAATCAAAGGTGATATCAGAAACAGATTCGGATTCATATACTTATATAGATTTCAAAAAATAGTTATATGTGGTATATCCATTAGCTAACAGATCAGATTGGTCATAAGACCCAAATACATAGTCTGTACCGACGACCATAAAGGTCAACATCTTTGTGCACAAATAGCCATGGTATTGTTACCCTCAAGCGAGGGCCATGTGAACATAGGCAGCGTTATTGTTACCCCCGAGCGAGGGCCACATGAACATAAGCCACGGTATTGTTACTTCCGGGTGAGGGCCACATGAACTAAGGATGCCACAATTACATTTCAGAAATATGGACATTCATTCATGATTCATAAAATAGCATTTCATAAAGCATATCATATCTTATTATTCTGCAAATACTTATAATCAACATATTTTTACAAAGTTATTACTCACAAATAACTCCAATAGTAGAAGAGTAATAACAGTTGAATCAGCGATTTATGGCGCGTGACCTACACAAACACATAACAGATACATATTGAAACACACGCTCAGAAAACACTTAACTCATTTCTTATCTATCTTGGTATGTTTCTAATCATTATTCTCATTATTGTGTCTTAATTAAGGCTTAAGAATGCCTAAGATGCAATGAGGATGCCAAAACATGAATTGAAACACTTAGTCAAATTCCAAATACAAGGCAACCCGCTCGAGCGCAACTTCGGCGGCTTGAGTAGTCTGCAAAGTATTGGTTTTTTTATTTTTACGCTCAACAGACGCTCGAGGGTCGCTCGAGCCAAAGACTTAGTAAAAAGGGTCTCCACTTGAGTGCAACTTCGGTAGCTCGACCGGTCTGTAAAACTCTGCAAAACTTTTGGGAGCATGAATTTTACGCTCGAGCCAACTTTTGTTCGCTCGCACTAAGGTGCAAAACAAATGATGGTCGCTTGAGCGCAGCTTTGGTCACTTGAGTGGTGATGCAGAATTCTAGAATTTTCAGATTGCAGTTCTAAGTTCAAAATCCAATTCTATTGCACCAAAACACGTTCTTTTGGGCCAAAACTTGAGGAAACACTTGTAAACTTATAAAACATCATGAATTAAAGATCATTTCACAAAATCGAGGCCCAAAAGCAAGTTAATTATTCAAAATCAAGCTTGAAACTTTGTATAATATTCATGCATATAGTGATATGGCTTCAAACTTTCCAAAACATGCAAACTTAGAATAATTTGATAGAAAACATGGGGAATTCTCAAAAGAAGGCTAAGATAGGTGCATGCATGTTCGAATTCTTCAAAATCTACTTCAAAATGTCATGAATTATGCATGCATGTATGTAATCAACCTTAATTCTCTCTTCAAAGCTCAATCCTCACACTATATTACTTGGTTCTCATGAGTTCATGTATCTCTTACCTTGAATCCAAGGTATAAAAATATAATTCTTACCTAAGGTTTTGAATTTGCAACAGTAAAAGCTTAATTTTCCCAAAAGTTGAACAATTCCTTGACTATCTTCTTAAGTCCTCTCAATTCTCTAGCAATTTTCCTTAGTTGAGCTCAATTCCCCTCTTCTTCCTCTCTCTCACGTTTTGATGTCAAGAAAACGAGAATGAGTCTAGAAGGCATGTATAAGCCTTATATAGGCTTGATTAGTAGAGCTTAATTAAACTTAGTTAAAGTTAATCAATTGGCATTATTTTATTCTAATTAATTCGTTCCGAATCGAATTTCAATTAAACCTACCATAATACTCTAAAAATTCCAAATTACCCGTTGACCTAGTCAATTTCGCATTCGGTGGCCGATAAGGCCTTCAATTTCCATATTGAAACAAAATTACCGACAGATATTCCTACAGTAGATAGATACAAACATAACTAATGCGATACACATGCAATTTATTCAAAATTTTCTCTTAATTACTTGTTAGGCATTCTTAATCAAAATTATA